AAAAAAAAAAATTAATATGAAAATACAATAAATATAACTTAAATACAAAGATAGAGAATTTTCTTAGATTGGAGCATTCATTATCCAGAGATGTTGATTCTCCCAAATTGATCTATACTTGTTTTTTTTCATACTTCCCACTTCATGGAACCAAATTGGTCTATAGATTCTTTGCAGTTGTAATCAAAATTTCAGGAGTCTTTTATGAAACTTGACAAACTGATTCTAAAATCATTATGAAAAGACAAAAGACCAGAAATAGCCAAGACACAGAATGAGAGAGGGAGGAAGTTGTCATGTCCTATTAGACAGTCAGCCTGTTACTCTAACTTGTAATTAAGACATTTACTAGGATTAGCACAAGGATAGGCAGACAGACCAGTGTACAAGATTCAAGACTGGTGAGTGCTTAATGTAGAAACCTGATATGTGTCAGAGCCAGCATTACATCAGGGGTGAAGTGATGACCTGTCCCATAAATGATGCTTGGTAACTGGTAACTGGTCCTGGAAAGGGGGTGCTAAAAAATGATCCTACTTCACATTTCAGATGAATCAAAGGCATATGAAAGCCAAGAATTTTTTTTTGTGTGTGGTTGTATACTTTTATTTATTTATTTATTGTTGGTGATTCATTGAGGGTGCAAAGAACCAGGTTACATTGATTGCATTTGTTAGGTAAAATCCCTCTTATAATTGTGTCCCACCCCCAAAAGGTGTGTCACACACCGAGACCCCACACCTCCACCTACCTTCCCTCTCTCTGCTCTCCTCTTCCCCCACCCCTCACCCTATACTAGGTCATTAATCGTCTTCATATCAGAACTGAGTACATGGGATTCTTGCTTCTCCATTCTTGTGATGCTTTGCTAAGAAGAATGTGTTCCACCTCCATCCAGGTGAAACAAAGTATGTAAAGTCTCCATCTTTTTTAATGGCTGAATAGCATTCCATGGTGGACATATACCACACCTGGTTAATCCATTCCTGGGTTGGTGGACATTTAGGCTATTTCCACATTTTGACAATTGTAAATTGAGCTGCAATAAATAGTCTAGTACAAGTGTCCTTATGGTAAAAGGATATTTTTGCTTCTGGGTAGATACCCAGTAATGGAATTACAGGATCAAATGGGAGGTCTAGCTTGAGTTCTTTTTTATTTTTTATTTATTTATTTATTTTTATTTTTTTTAAGAGACAGAGTCTCACTTTGTCACCCTCAGTAGAGTGCTGTGTCGTTACAGCTCACAGCAACCTCCAGTTCTTGGGCTTAGGTGATTCTCTTGCCTCAGCCTCCTGAGTAGCTGGGACTACAGGCGCCCACCACAATGCCTGGCTAGTTTTTTGATGCAGTGTGGCCGGGGTTAGGTTTGAACCTGTCACCCTCAGTATTTGCGGCCAGCGCCTGACTCCCTGAGCCACAGGTGCTGCCCCTAGCTTGAGTTCTTTAAGGGTTCTCTATACTTCCTTCCCAAAAGGTTGTATTAGTTTGCAGTCTCACCAGCAGTGTAAAAGTGTTCTCTGCTCTCCACATCCATACTAGCATCTGCAGTTTGGAGATTTTCGGATGTGGGCCATTCTCACTGGGGTTAGATGATGCCTCAGGGTGGTTTTGATTTGCATTTCTCTAATAATTAGGGACGATGAGCATTTTTTCATGTTTGCTAGCCATTCGTCTGTCTTCTTTAGAGAAGGTTCTATTCATCTCTCTTGCCCATTGACATATGGGATTGTTGGCTTTTTTTCATGTGGATTAATTTGAGTTCACTGTAGATCCTAGTTATCAAGCTTTGGTCTGATTCGAAATATTCAAATATCATTTCCCATTATGTAGGTTGTATATTTGCTTTGGTTGCTGTCTCCTTAGCAGTACAGAAGCTTTTCAAGTTAGTTAATTCCCATTTGTTTATTTTTGTTGTTGAAATTGCCACGTAAGTCTTCTTCATTAAGTCTTTCCCCAGGCCAATATCTTCAAGTGTTTTTCCTATGCTTTCTTTGAAGATTTTTTATAATTTCATGCCTTAAATTTATGTCTTTTATCCATCTTGAATCTATTCTTGTGAGTGGAGAAAGGGGTGGGTCCAGTTTCAGTCTTTTACATGTGGATATCCAGTTCTCTCAACACTATTTATTGACTAGGGAGTCTTTCCCCAGTGTATGTTCTTGTTTGGTTTATCAAAGATCAGGTGGCTGTAAGCTGTTAGTTTCATTTCCTGGTTTTGTATTCAATTCCAAATGTCTGTGTCTCTATTTTTGTGCCAATACCATGCTGTTTTGACCACTGTGGCCTTGTAGTACAGCCTAAAGTCTGGTATGCTGGTGCCCCCTGCTTTGTTTTTATTACTAAGAACTGCATTAGCTATGCGGGGTTTATTTTGGTTCCATACAAAACGAAGAATTATTTTTTCCAAGTCTTGAAAGTACAATGTTTGTATTTTTATTAGGGATGGCAAATACAGAGAATATTTTTATGACCTCAGTGTAGGGCAGGAAACTTTTTTTTAATTTCACACTAAGGTGAAGGTACAACCAGGTCACAATATTTGAATTTGTTAGGTAGAATCCCTCCTATAGTTGTGTGCTACACCCAGAAGGTGTGCTGTGCACCCCTACATTGTGCCCATCGAGTGGAAGCACCCGAAACCCCCCTCATGTCGTCTCCCTCCATCACTCCCCTCCCCTCAACTGGAATTGGAACGAGTTTTTCTCCTATGTGAGATGAATTAGATCATCAGCTGGCTTCACATTAGTGTCAAGTGCTTTGGATATTTGCTTTTCCATTCTTGTGGTACTTTACTGAGGATAAGTCCATCCAGGTTAATATAAAAGATATAAAGTGTAGAGAAAGAATTTTTAATACACAAAAACATTCTAAGTTAACATGGATGAATTTGCTTAAGATTAAAATTAAGAACATCTATTTATCAATATACCATAAACCATAAAAAATGAAAGATAAGGGGCAGCTCCTGTAGCTCAAAGGAGTAGGGTGCCAGCCCCATATGCCAGAGGTGGTGGGTTCAAACCCAGCCCCGGCCAAAAATTGCAAAAGAAAAAGAAAAGCCACAGATGGGGAAAAGATGTTGCAACAGAACATCAGATGTAACCACCAAAGTTTTAGTGTACAGAGTAGAGCAGAAAACTCAAATGAGAAAGAAAAGAGGGAGAATCTAGATACACGTGAGTGAACGTGACACTATCCATGTGTCATAGTATCCATGACACTAGTGTCAGTGAGATGCCGACGAAAACTGCCGGCGACGCCAGCACTCCCTCTGCGCGAGTGTCTGAGGAAGTGGCGCTGTGACGCCAGGGATGTAGATCTGAGGATGTGGCAGTGTGACGCACAGCGGTGAGGGATGCGGATCTGAGGAAGTGGCGCTGTGACGGATCTGAGGAAGTGGCGGTGCGCCGCGCCGCTGCCTGTGGACAGCCGTGAGGGATGCGGATCTGAGGAAGTGGCAGTGCGCTGCGCCGCTGCCTGTGCACAGCGGTGAGGGATGCGGATCTGAGGAAGTGGCGCTGTGACGTGCCGCTGCCTGTGGACAGCCGTGAGGGATGTGGACTGGTACACCTTTCAGAAGGTGGTTTGGCATCATCTTGTAAACCTTCATGTGCGTGAGCCAGCAAGGCCACTCCTGCACGTGCCCTGAAGAGGTCACAGCTTATAATAACAGAAAACTAGAAACAAGCCCATGTCTCTTAGAGGAGAGTGGATGCATTATTTGTATAGAGTGAAAGCAAGTGAATTAGAGCTGCCTCTGTCACCTTGGTGCATCTCAGACACAGACTGGACGGGAGGAGCAGTGGCTCACACCTGTAATCCCGGCTCTCTAGGAGGCCAAAACAGGTAGATGTTTTGAGCCCAGGAGTTCAACACCAGCCTGAGCAAGAGAGAGACCCGTCTCTGTCGGGTGTTGTGGCAGGTGCCTATAGTCCCAGATAGGAGGCTGAGGCAAGAAGATTGCTTGAGTCTAAGTGTTTGAGGTTGCTATGACGTGTGAGGCCACCTCACCCTACCAAGGGTGACAAAATAAGACTGTCTCAAAAAAAGAGAAACCCACTGGTGGGAGAGGGTACAAGCCACAGATGATACCTCAGTTTATACTGTGTTCAGAATCAAAATGAAAATAAAATATGTAGGCACTAAATGCTCTAGAAATAATTGGCTGTAATTATTACTATTATTGAACAATAGATCAGTAAAGGAAGTACAACTGATAAAACACTCCATCCATGGTCACTTCCCACAAAGGGAGAGGCGTGTGACTGCTTAGGGATAGCAGTGCTGGCAGCATTCTTGAGCTGGCTAGTAGGAACGTGGTATTCTTTTGATAAATTACTTTTTTCAACTGCCCATACATAATTATTTATCCTCTTTTCTCCATGTGCATGTGTTCACAGTAAAGTTTTTTTCAAAATGCATTATATTGACACTTAAGTCACACCTTTCACTTTTATAGTTTAAAATAGACAGCAGCTGTAAATACAGTGTGCACCCATGGATAGCGTCAATGTACCGGCTGTAAATACAGTGTGCGCTCATGGACAGCCTCAGTGTACCGGCTGTAAATACAGTGTGCACCCGTGGACAGCCTCAGTGTACCGGCTGTAAATACAGTGTGCGCCCGTGGGCAGCCTCAGTGTACTGGCTGTAAATACAGTGTGCGCCCGTGGGCAGCCTCAGTGTACCGGCTGTAAATACAGTGTGCGCCCGTGGACAGCCTCAGTGTACCGGCT